AACGGGAAGTGCTGCAGGAACTATTATTATAGGACTGAAACGCCGTCTGTTTGTATTTCCCAGATATTCTACGTGGCCTCTTTCCTGTACACTGCCAACTACACCTGGCATCTCTACATGGACCTAAAGATGAAATACAATCAGAACCTTTTCAGGATGCCCCCCCAGGTGAGTAGGACTGACATGCAACAACTGTTGGGTACCAAGGGCTAACTCTGGGGTTGTGGTGGGGTTTAGGAGATGCATACATGACAACATATCTCGCCACGAGGACTTTGAAGGCCCTTCTGCCCCATGGCTGTATGAATTGACATATTTTGGTCACTGAGGCCAGCAGAGTTCCAGGTAGGTCTGCTGTAGGATCTCAGTGAAAGATTAGGCTTGCAAGACCAAAGCAGGTAAAGGCCAATGCTGGCGTACATCTCAGAGCGGGGAACGCTTAGGGCTGGGTGTTGGTGAAGTTCTTCTGCAGTTAGAAGAAGAGCAATTTGCACCAGCTGAGTAACTGGTTTGTTGCTGTTGCTGCCTTCTGCCAGTGCACAGCAGAGGGGACAGGAAAGCAGGACGTGCCTGGACAGCCTGAACTGAGAACTGACCGTTTCTGTCCTCCCCTGGTGTCATACAGCATTCGAGAGCGTCAGTAAGGTATTGTAAGAGTTTGAGGTAGGAGGTGTGACGGGGGTGAGCTAGTGATAAAGGAGCAGTTGGCTCTGAACAGCGGCCAGTCCTCACTTCAGCATCGCTGGCCTTTACAAAACCCTTTGGGGAACCGGTGCAGTCCCTGGGAACCGAGGAACAAGGACGTAGTAAAACACTCTCTGCGTTGCAGGCTGAGCAAACACTTCACATACCGCATGACCAGACTCTCTCCTTGCAGCTGTTTCATTCCTCACAGCTGGCTAAACAGCGAGGCCCCACCAGTGCTGTAGCTGGTGTGTTGCTCCTGATGTGTTGCTGCAAGACGACAGATTCCTTATGCAGCTCTTCCCATCGAACCCATCATCAGCTCCATTTCCATACATAACCTTTTTCTTCCCCAGACGTTTGCCGTGCACAGCAAATTTTGTATCCCAGATATTCCCTCTGTCGGTTTGGGAGCAGCAGGCTGGGCAGATCAGTCTGTATTTCAAGGGCTCTTGTCCATAGGGTTTGGATCCCCTTGCAGGGCTGGTTTCCTTCCTGCTGGACTCCCATTCAAAACACAACACCTACCGTGATTCCTCACCAGTACAGCTGTGCCCACGCCGTGTTGTTGTCACTGGTGTGCGGATGCCAGCTGCCAAAGTGCGTTCCCTGGTGAGCAGATACCAGGCCACCCCTGCGTTTCTTCATCCAAACATGAAGTTTCTGAGGAACAGGGCCAGGTTAAGTGAATAAGCAGTGCAAAAAACCAAGTTACACCAGAGAGCTCATCAAGTGCTTGCTCCTCCTTGTCCAGGTCCAAGTTCCCTCCTCAAATCCTCTAGACTCGAAGGAGAACAAGGCAGTGAGCAGGTGGAAGCGTCGGTTCTTTCTGTTGCGAGTGGGCACAGGCTGAACTCGGCGGTGTTGATTCAGTGCAAAGCGGAAACAAACCTTTGTGCTCAGTCTGGGCATTACGCAGCCTTTGAAGAACCCTCAGCACCTGGAGCACTCCCTGGGAGGTGGTTCATGTGAACCAGTGGCTGTATAGAAACGATCATTTAATTAAGCTCTTTGGGTCTTGCAGGTTGTAGATTACGCGAGTTGCATCGGGCGAATAGCAACGATCTCGTCGAGGTAAGATTTAAACTGAAAGAGGGCAGATTTAGGTTAGATATAAGAAAGAAATTCTTTACATTGAGGGTGGTGAGGTACTGGAACAGGTTGCCCAGAGAAGCTGTGGCTGCCCCATCCCTGGCAGTGTTCAAGGCCAGGTTAGATGGGGCTTTGGGCAACCTGGTGTAGTGGAGGGTGTCCCTGCCCATGGCAGGGGGGTTGGAACTAGATGATCTTTGAGGTCCCTTCCAACCCTAACCATTCTATGATTCTATGAAGATTTAATTCTCTCTGGCAGAATGATGTGGCTTTGGTAAACTGTAGTGTGCTGGTCTCTGCTTCCTACTTATTTTGAGGGAAGCGTTACTAGAACCTGCAGAGTTCATCAGCATGACCTAACAAACTCAGAGTAAGAGATTTGGGATGTAAGGGCCTTTCTCCAACCAAGTTAGTTGTAACTATATGTAGTTTTTCAGAAAGTGCTCCCTTCACTGGTGAATTGCCTGCACGAATTGAAGTGCAGGAGTTAGCCGAGCTGATGAAATACTCTTCCAGCGCGGTGTCAATAAAAACAATTTTTAAGTTCTCTATAGTGACAGGAGAAAAACCAAGTAGTGTTGGGTTGGGGATGGGAGCAGTAACTGATGACTGCACCGTTGTCTTTTCTCCCGTAGCCTGATCCCTGTCCTTCTCATGGTGCCCGTGTTTTGCCTGGGCAACAGCAGTAGTTGCTACCAGAACTTCAGCCAGAAGCACGGGTAAGCTTCGCGCGTCTCCGCAGCAGCCTCGCTGCTTAGGAGTCACAGCAGGAGCTCAGGCTGTTCCCTTTCTCCCCACAGGTGTCTCTTGATGCACATGGAAATAGCCGGGCACCCCGACGAGCCGCAGACCCTGAGCGGCCCCGTTTGCCGTGCGATGCATTTCTATGGCATTGGGGTCTTCCTCATTTCCTTTCTCATCAGCTTCGTAGCCATTCTGGTAAGAAACGTAGCCCTGGCACACTGGCCGTTGCACCCAGATGATCAGTGTGAGAAGATTTTTCCCCTTTTCATCTTTACATCTTTGCTTGGATGGTACCAGAGGCCAGGCAATGTCAGGGGAAGAACCACGTGGTGCTGCTTTCCTTTTTGAAGGGATGGTGGGGAGAGAAAATACCATCATGCCACCCTACAAATCCATCCGGAGCCCTGTGTTCTGTCAGCCCATCCCAAAAAGGCTTTAGCAGGTAGAGACGGCTCCGAGCACGGCAGCAGAGATCACCTACCGCGTGGGTCAGTGGGAGCCCAAACCAGTTCGGAGTCTTCAGTTCAGAAAAGATCACGTACAAAGCCACTGCCCTCCCCCGGGGGGCACGCGCTGTTGCGTGAAAAGGTTTGACTGAAATGAGGTTTTGGCTAAAAAAGCCGTGGGATACCATGTCCTAGATGAACAAGCCAGATCAGAGCATGTTCACAAAGTACAAAGACCACTTTATGCTTGTTCTTTTTTAGGTTATACTCTGCCAAGCCCGAGTTTTGTACAAAAGGTTTGTAAACTCCACGGGATTCCTGGGAGATCAGCAGTGGGCCATGATTAAGATAGTGGAACAACGAGTGGTTTTCTACCCCATCGCGTTCTTCTGCTGCTGGGCCCCAGGTTAGCAGAGAGCTGAGTTACTCTCCCGATATTCCCCTAGGACATGGTGCCTGGCAAGGAATCTCCAAAGAGCGGGGGTTAAAGCAATGCCCTCTTGTCCATCCCTTTTCATAGCTGTCCTCCTTGGAATACTGAAGCTCACAGTGTCAACAAACAGCAAAATCTACATGGCTCTCCTGATTCTACAGGTAAAGATCTTCATCTGCAACCTCCTACATTTTGCCCTCTCTGCTTGAACACAAAATTGAGTATTTGCCTGTTTCTAATCTCTGCTAGGCAAAGCATGTTTGTAGCCACAAAGATCATTAAGTCTGATTTATGCTTTTGGTTGGCAAAGATCTTTGTTAGTCGTTTTACGTTTTTCACAGGCTTGACCAGGTCTCAGTAACCAAAATCATAGAATCATAGAATGGTTAGGGCTGGAAGGGACCTTCAAAGGTCATCCAGTCCAACCCCCCTGCAAGGAACAGGGATATCTCCAACTAGATCAGGTTGCTCAGGGCCTCGTCCAACCTGGCCTTGAACATCTCCAGGGATGGAGCATCCACAAATCACGGCACCATGGAAATTGTAGAAAATAGGACTAGAAAGGATCCCTGGAAATGAGTTAGTTTTGTCCCTTTCTATGAAAGTCTCCCAATGGAATTCCTCCACAACGCTTGTCCAGCTGCCTGCCGTGCCTGGGGCAGCATTTAGCAAAAATGATGAAAATAACCGTGAGGTTCCTGTATCACCTGGCATGCAGATAGATCGAATGGTGCTGGAAGTGGGAGGTTTGGTGTCCCGTGCCGGGTTCGGCAGCCTGGCAGGGAGCCGTGGAGCTGGCTGACGACGGAGCCCTCACCTCCCCTGTGGTCTCTCCCAGGCTCTGACGGCGGCTTCCCAGGGGCTCCTGAACTGCATCGTGTACGGCTGGACGCAGCACGTCTTCCTCTCCCTCAAACGCAGCGCCTGCCGGGACGTCGACACTCAGACCCCGCTCCTGCGCTCCCAGAAGAAGTTCTACGCCAGCACGCTCCCCGCCAGCCCGCCGGACGCCGAGGGCTCCACGTCCACCCTGCTCTGAGGAATCCCCGCGCCGAAGGAGAGCGGGCAGCATCCCAAGGAGACCTCGTCGCGTTTCAGCAACGCCAGCCAGGCTCCGTGTTGGGCTGCCCGGGGCGAACTGTCCTGCCGCCGCGGCAAAGCGAGGCGTAGGGCTGGAGGAGCCCGAGCAGAGCTGTCGGAGGCACTTTCAGTGAAGATAGTTATTTATTTTACGGGTTTGTACGGACTGTAAATGGAATCTTTAAACGTGGTAAATCTTTAGTACAGACTTTTCTCCTTATGGAAATATCTCTAGAAATGCAGCAAATTCTACGTAACAGCTCAGAGGTCTGGTTACAGCTCCTTTGAGGGAGGTGGTCAAAGGATGTTTTACTTCTCTAAGTGTTTGCCATTACAAATTAACAGTAAAGCCAAGGTGAATATTTTTCAATCTCTGACTTTTCATTCACTATAAAAACAAGAACACGTACCGTCCTAACAGCCAACTGCAAGGAATGAAGAACTACAAAGCAGTGTAAAAAATCAGCGCTGGCTTCTGTGCCTCGGCTTTTTACACATTTCCCTTCTGTCCTTCGTGCCAACTCCTGCTCAGCTGCAATACTCAGAAAAAGAAGCTGCTTTTGGACTCAGTGGAGCATCTCTCCTGAACCAGGTGAGCAGGGCTGCACATGAGTCTCTCGATACACTTCTAGATGCTCCAGTGAATTATTTACTAAGGTGCCACCGTTCTATAGCAAATAAAACAGATCTTTAGCTGCACTGGAAATGATTCTCCAACTTTTATGCTCTTCATTTTCTAACAGTTTCACTTTTTGGGCCCAACCAAAAATTATTTACATAGCAGGTAACATAAGAGGAGGAAATACTCAAGTTTTGTGTAATTAACTTTCACACAGTTTACACAGTTACGTTGTGTAAACCACTTTGTGTAAAATCTCCTGGGACTGGCAGTCCGGCTTCAGGGGCAAACCCCCAGGGCCCCCAGTCCTTTTCATGTTTTTTCAAATATCTTCATCATCTTCTTCGTCCATACTCTGCTCCTCATCTGCAGGAGTCTCGCTTCTCTCTGTGGCAGAATTTGTGCTGCAAAATGCAGCTATTGCCCTTCTGTGTTTGGCTACAGAAGCAGGCAGGGCACTCAGCACCCCCCATGGCTGCACCCTGCTGGGGTGCTGCCAGCGTGAGGAGCCAGCGCTGCTCCAGCAATTGGTGTGAAAGGGGATTAAGTGTTCATAAAGCACTAGATTACCAGGGAAACAAGGAGTCGGTTGCAGATGGAACATTCAGCCGCCGTGGGGAGAGCCGTCGGTGTCTGTTCACAGGTATCCTCACATGTCTTAAATATTTGGGGGGAGTTTTCTTGCTGGAAAGGGGGGGGTATTATTTGGGCCACCCATCCTACACTATGAGTAAAGGGGAGTTTTTTCTTGTGCCACTTCTATAGAGCGCTTGCAGCTGATTTGGCTGCCTTAAATACTCCCAGGCTGCTTGGAAATCGTTCTCTTATTCCCCTTCCCAACGCTATGGATGCTCTGACAGTCACTCGCCATCCAACACGCTATTAACTCCTCAAAGGTTCACGCAGATGATGTTAACTCTTCCAAAGAAGGTGGCCTGGGGCCCACGGGCACTCGCAGCCATCCCACCACCTCTTCTTGTGCCACTTTTGGTCTGAAATGTTCATGTGACAAGGGTCTATGGCTGCTGTCAACAAGCCGGTCAAACCAGGCTTGAGGATAACAAAACTATTTGCAGAGCTGGCGAGTGCACAAGTGCCACACTTGACAGCACCAGTCTGTGTCGAGAAGGGCTGACTGCCCTGGAGGTGAGCAGCAGCACTCCCGTGCCCCCTGGCAAAGGGCATTTCTTACCTACTTCCAGCTCCAGAGTCACCCATCCTGCCACAAGCCCCTGCAGAGCTCCCGCTTCAGCCACCTTCAGCGAGGAGCAGCATCCTAAAAAACCCTGGTCCCTAGATCCTGCCCCAAAGAACACGCTTGGCAGAACGCAGGAGCTGTTATACCTGCTGGAAATGTCAGTGAACAGAGAACCACTCTGACTGCCCCAATGTAGCTGCAAGAAAAATCTTATAGACCTCAGGGGGTTAACTGGTAGCACTGGGCATGTACTGCTGCCATCTAAAGGAAAGCAGTGCTTAAAAAAGGCAATTTCAGGTTGTGTTGCCAGGCAGAGGATGGGATTTTCCAGGGCTTTACCCAGCCTATCCTGTCAGTTGTTCTTTCATCTCACAGCCTTCCAGCACATCTGTAAAATATAAAGGAAAGGGCCGGTGGGATGGAGGATGGAGCACGGTGGGACAGGGCTGGGGCTGCAGGAGAAGCTGTTCCTTCCTCCCTTCTGTGCTGCGGGGACGTGGGAAACCAAAAAAGGAGCAGCCAGTAACTGATAAGTTTAGTAAAATCATTTATATACACTGATGCATAGTATTTACAATATAATACTGATCCAAAATAAACTAACGTATTACAGGTAACACTGAAAGGGAGAAATGAAAAACATTTTAATACACAGAAGTTAAACATGGCATATGAGGACAGACTCAAGATTTCCAAAAGAAAAACCTGAAGTAATGACAGCAAAACTTGGACATGTTGCTATTTCCAATCAAAAACTCTTTCACCTAGTCAAGTTCTTCTAACTTTTAAATATATATATATATAGCTTAAAATAATCAAGTCACAGGAGAAGTCAGATATACATAAAATTTTGAAAAGGTCAAATGATTTCAGAGATTTTTCTCTTAAATAAAATTCTAAAAAAAAACCCACCTACAGAGCTTTCTCATATCCTTTTAGTGTTTGTACAAAGAACGTTTTCTTTGATCCCACACAACCCTTCCATCTCAAGATATTTACAATATTCACAGTCTGCTATAAAGGATCAGTAGATTTATTACCAAGTAAAACCTTATATAATCAAGACAAGGTATCTTGCACTTATGCCAACTGAAGAATAAAAAACACAGGGAGAAGAAAGCAAAATACTATAAAATATGTAAATGAATCCATTAAAGTATATTTAATTTTGAAATCTAACCCATAACTTTTTTAACAGTAAAAAAAAAAAATAAAAAAATCAACTTTCTCATAGAAATAAAACCATTTGACCTTAAATCTTCAAATTGTGTTTTCTTAATCTGTCTCTCCCTCCTTCCTTTTTAGCAGGCCATTCTTATTTATCCCAGACAATGAAATCGATAGTAAATCCATAAAAAGCAGTTCCTTATCACAAAAGCCCTTAGAAATTTGACTTCCCTCCAGGCACTGAAACCCTTCAGGTACCCACCTCCCCGCGCTGCTCACGAGGTGCTGGGACCGGACCAGGCTCCGGCATGGTGGTGTTCTCTGCATTGACCATGACAGTAGCTACAATCGGATCCATTTTGCTGCTAAGAAGTTCTGGCTCCCAAGAAACTGCCTGAGTATTCTCCTCCTTGGAGGGCAGAGTTGCAAAGTGCTCTTGTGGGGAATTTTTTGCACTCCCATTCAAACAAAGGCGATTTCCTGTTTGCCACACTTAAAAGTTCCAAAACAATGACATTTCCCAGAAAAAAAACCCACATGGATTTCAAGTCAAAAAGAAAATTATCTATTACATTTCAAGACTGTGTGGATGTTGACATCACCTAGAATTTAGGGCACGGACAGAAACGCATCTAATAGGGCCTGCAAACTTGCTGAAACCACCAAGAAATTACAAATACTCTTGTCTCTTGCTAAATCTCTGTTGTCATCGATACATGTCAGTGCACAAAGGTTCCACGTAGTGTCAGAGGTACAATTCTGACTTACACAAAAACTCCCCGTTTCCATCGGAGAACGCGATGGTTAAGCAGGGACTGTGGTTCTTACTCTGCAATAAATCCGGCATTGGAAAACCATCAACAGGATTAAAAGAAAGGTGACAAGGTGCTGACGAAGAACGGGAAAGGAAGTATCTCCTTCATGTAGAAAATCTTAGTCACCGTTTACAAAATTTTTTAGAAAGAGTCAGACACTGGTTTGCCATCCAAGCTAAAGGTTGCACGGAAGTCGGGTATAGAAAAAAGACAAAAAAAGAACAAGGCTGGACTGCCGTAAGAGAAAAATTGGGAGATTCATGGCTCAGGTTTGTAAATGTAAACCCAAAATTAATGAGCTATGAACTATAACAATAATGTTCAAGAGTCATTACTAATAGCCCTGAATTGGCACTTCAGTCTGCAGACCAAACTCATTCAACGTCTGCACGGGTTTAGTACCAAAATATCTCTATAAAAAGCCTTCGACCGGTCTCAAAAGAAAGAAAAGCGTCAGAAGGTAGAAAACTAGAACTATGTACAGATTCTTTTCATTTGTTTGTTTAATTAAAATTAAAAAAAAAGCAGCTTTTGGAGCCAATGTTCCAGACTAGTGTAAGAATCTGCCCTGGGCAGCCTCATGGTCCAGGCAGCCTAAGGACAAGTGCCAAGGAGCAGCCCTGCATCTGTTGCTCCCTCAGGAGGAGCTCGAAGGCATCAAAGAGATGGGGAGCCTGGACTCCAGAGGGTGACACAAGAGAAGGATCACCGGTGGACTCACACAGCAGCACTATGTCCCCTGCCAGGGTGATCTCTTTCAAACAAGAGGACAAGTTTGAAACCAAGAGTTGGATCTTCTAGAAAGGAAAGAATGGGGCACAGGGGTGGAACACACACAACTTCTGGTCTGGGGATGAAGCAAACGAAGCCCACACTTACTGTTGTCCATAGAAGATCCCACCATGAGAATAAAAATAACTTGTACATAAGTAACTAGAACATTCTTTTGTTCTGCTGTTGAACAATATGATAAAAAGAGGAGCCTTGTGCTGAATGGCCAATTCAGCCTTAAAAAAAGGCCTCAGGAAGATGGGGAACAAGAAAGAAAGAGGGCTAAGCCTTAAAGAAGGTCTGAGGAAGATAGGGAAGAAGAAAAAAAAGAAAAATAGAGGGCTACCAACCAGAACTGAAAAATACAGCAAGCACATGGACTCAGGTGCCCTTGGCAAGGGCAAGCGTGGCTCTCAGGTCATCCAGCGAAACGGGGGGGCTATGCAGTCGCCTCTACGTAAAGACTGAGTAGCTATGAAGTTGGTGGTTCACAGCGTTTGCTTCAAGTACTTACTGAGCAGGGTGTTGAGAAACTGTGGCTGTCTCGGTCACATACAGAGTCATGGCAGCTGGCTGTATGTCTAGCAGATGGAAGGCAGCTTCTGCAACTGGTTCTTAACAAAAAGAATGGTCTTTAACAACATAATTTGCCCCATCTGGGGGTCTCATGATTAACAGTACGTAAGTGATCATATATAGCTCAAGGAACTGAGTTTTAAAAAAATATTACAGTACCAATGATTTTTCGTATCTACAACTATACAGCATTTTCAAGCAGTATGGAAATTTAATGAAATAATTATGATTTATTAATTTACATAAAAATACTTTTTACAGTTAAAGAATAAATCTTAAATGGTAAAAAAAATAAGATTCAGAAGCTCCAGCTATTGAGAGTCGTGGGAGTTTGTCTGCTCTTCGATAACTTGTTTTACTATTTCTGCCAGTTTTAGTCGATCCACTTTATCTGTGAATCCTCTGCCTGAAAGGAAGAGAACAGGTAGTCAGCTGGTGCTGGGCACGGGGAGGAAAGAACCACGGCTGGAGTCATCCACTGACCGAGCACAAAGCCATCCTTCACGCAGAACCTTTGGACAACATTTGCAAGGGAACCAAAACGAGTTACGGTCTTGAGTTGCTCTGAAAAAATTGAGCACTTAAAGCACCTAAATTAAAACCAACCAGACAAAAAAACAGAGAAGAGGTACAGCCAAGCCCTTGTGAACCTGGCTGTCCCTGGTCCCCCCCCAGCAGCTGCTGCTGGGGGATGACACCTCTGCCACCCTGTTTGGTCAAGAAGCCATCTGAATAGCCTCAAGGCAGCTGGTTTGATTCTGCTGCCCACACAAACTGAGCAGAAGAGATGATGTGCTGACATGGATGAGGGCAGCAGCCTCCAGCAGAAAGATGGCAATAACCAGCTCAAAACAGCTAAAGCAGTTTCTAAAACGATGATCCACTTGTGCTGTTATGTTCCTACACAACTTGGTGCCTTTGACAAGCCTACCCTTTTAGAAATTTTAAAGCAGAACTTTCAACCTCATCTCTAGAACACCCATGCTGGCAGAAGGGCTGAACCAGCGTCAAAACTGAGATCAGTTTGGCACAAACTCAAGAAATGTGTTTTTATTTCCATAAGAGAAGGCCACGGCTTCCCCTCTCTCACCCAGCACTAGCACCGCTCTCCGTGGAAGACAAAGAGCTCCTCACCGTTCCAGCTGAAGCTCTGCAGAGTGTCTCGCAGCAACTTACACTCTCGATTATATTTCCACGCTTCCTGCATCACTTCATTCAGCTTCTCATCTTCATTCTCTCCTGTTTAGGAGAACAAAGATGAACAAGGGGGTTTGTCGTTGTGCCTCGCAGCGACATCCCGCGCTTCAGCAAACCGTACGCGCGGATGTTCCTGCTCCCCTCACGCCAACCAGGACGAGGGTTTGAGAGCAGTTTGGAAGTTGTTTTAACAGCTCTGTGTTTTAACTGTGGCCACGAAAATAATGCATGCACCAAAACTACGGTCCACACAACACTTTCCTCTTGAGACTGACTACGACAACAGGAGTTTTGTCGATCCTTCCTCACTACCGACACAGACTGATCTCGAGGCACAGTAAAAAGTCAGTGTCTTGCGCGTTTGGGAACGTAACTTTCTTAAAAGTGGCAACCTTTACCAGCCTGTGGTAGAATGCACTGAGCAATCACATCTCTGAGCTTTTCCAGAGCCACGTTGGAATCGTTACTTCCATTCTCGGGGTCATGGATGTAAACACCATCCTTCGGCTTAGTGCTGCAAAAGAACGAGGACGAAACAATTACAACTTGAAAGCAACTCAAGTCCGTTCCTTGTTGCGTAACTGCACCAGTATAACGCTCTGTTTTACTCTCTGGAAAGCTGGGACTGGGAGCTAGATTTGGCATTAATTGTAACAACATCCTGCATTATGAGACCACTTTAAAACATGAAGAAAAATAAATCTTCCTTCAAATTATTTCAAGTGAGGGTAATCCTAAAACACATTATCCTATTTTTCAGATATAGGTAACTCGAACAAAGAGAGATTACTTGACTTTTTCAGTAAATAAATGTCAGGATCAGAAGAAAATATTGGAATTCTTTCTCCTAGTAGAATTCTTTCTGCCTTACTCAACACGTGACCCATCTTCCCAGAACGGACCTGTAATAACACTATCCAATCTCCTTCCTGCCCTCACTGGAGTATCCTGGAGTCAAGTAATGCTTGCATAACACGTTGTGCCTTCCAACTACCCACTTCAGCATGAAGAGCACGTCAATCAAATCAGAAATTCAGGAGCAGGGTTACAATTCAATGAACTTGTAACACGCTTAAAGTCATCCTCCTGGCATCACGGCTGCCTATGCTTTGATCTTTCAGAAACAGCTTTAGAGAGTTACCCCAGTAATTTCCTTTTGCGCAGGATTGGGTTGTTGACGGAGTGGAGGGGTTTGAGACTGACTTTGAGGTCTTGGATTCTCATGTTCGCAAGCTGTTCTGCATGAGCCTGCTGTATCCCTGCAACCATTGCCTGAAATGAAAAGAGTTGCACTTGATGTTTTAATTAGCTTCTTTGTGAATTAAAGAACAACACACGGACAATGTTAGCCATGGACAAAAAAAAAAAGCACCAAAATCCTACTTATTTCAGACACGTGTAACAAAAAAAAAAAATCAGGTTTGTGTTATGCAGGACATGATTAGAACTGCAGTTATTGACTGTGGGACAACACATCCCAACCTCACAGGGGCTGAACAGGACAAAGGATCATCTCTACCATGTGAAAGAAAACACTCAAACCATTCAAGAGCTATGCAGCTCTCCTAAGCAACATTCTTGATAAAATAACATGTTGTTTAGACCTTGTCCATCATCAGCTGGGCAGAGGGTAGGATGTTATCAAGTGCCTCGGTGGAGTTGAGCCAGGGATGGTCCAGCACACCTTCAATGGTCAGCCGTTCCTCGGGTTTGACCTTCAGCAGCCTGGGAGAGGAATCAACCAGTCCATAAAGAGGTCTTTGTTGATTTACAGTGTAGTGCTCTGTCTGAGACCAGAGCACTTCATCTCTAAGCATTAGAGGGGCCAAAAAAGAAACTCCTCCAAACAAATAAAACACTAAGCTGACCCAAAAGCAGTCTGACTTTCTACCAGCCTCACCGCCCCTTGCTGGTGGTATTTTAAGGCAATCACAGCTCGTTCAGTTGTACTCAGCAACTCTGCACAAAGAAAGGTGCTGAAGGCTATTTGAGTAATACTTGTGTTCTGCTGAACTCTACATTCACACCCTCCCAGATGGGAAATTATCTTCCAGATGGACTGGAAACAATCCAGACTGACACTCTGGAAATGCACATCTAGAGCTCGTCCACATAATTGTCTACACCCTTACCAAGGACTCTGGGCACGGTGAAGTAAGGTCAAGTTTCAAAGTTGGAAACTTGTTTGCTGAATTAACTGCTTTCACCATCCAACATCTTAGCTCTTCTGCCCCTGAAAAAGCCTCAAGTAATGGACATTTTGGCAGTCGACAGCACCTCAAAATAAGAAGGAACTTTATTTCGGGATTTCTGAAAACTCCATGGAATTAAATCTTACTAGAAAGAAACCCTGGAAAGAGACTTTGCAGATAAACTCATGTTCTTACAATAACCACAACTGTTTAATAAAAAAAAAAAAATTAAGATCACACACAGAGTGCTGACAATTTGTCCCAAGAGCCTAAATTAGAAATACAATGACTTGATGAGTCGGTCACGCTTTCTTAGAAAATACTGTAAAACAGTTTCCTGGCTGCAAAGCAGAATTGTTTAATGTACCAAGAAAGTGGAAATAACTTTTACAAAATGTCAGCAGGACCACAGGCTAGCTCATAAATTTCACTTGCAAGGCCGTGCTGCCAAACAGGTCGTAAGTTCAGTTTTGATACGAGACCCAAGACACATGCATTCCTTTTCCACAGGTTTTCAAAGTCCTAACCTATTATCAAGCACTCCAGCTCATAAAGCTTAAGGTCAGAAATCAGCTCGACATGCTTGAAAAGAAGCAGCTGCTTGAATGTCAAATATGACCTCCAGAAGCAAGACCCCACGTGAACAGCGGTCTACAGAAGTAAAATGTAAACTTATCCAGAATTATATACAGTCTAAATATATTCCTGCACCATAAACACTGGTTCAGACTCACTGGCTGGAAAAGACAAGCAGGAAAGGGACTCCTGATAACACTAGTGAGAGAATTAAGTGAAGGGAACTGAATCTAAGTAACAACATTCTGGGAGCTGAGTTTCATGGCCAATGGAGATTTAAAAGACAATGAAACCTATTGACTGTGGAGCTTCTGAGTGAGAATAAGGAGTTGACCTTGCTATAAACAGACGTTTCACTGCAACATAATCTGCAGTTTATTTGGGGGAAGGTTGTGGGCTCTCCTGCACTGCTATAAACAGGTCCTGGCACCCCTTCCAAACCATGCTAAGTCCTTGGAGATTCTACAGTACGTCAGAGGAGATGGTGACAGTTTCAAATTATCTGATTGATTTTTTTTCTCTCTTTATGTTGCTTTTATTCTTCCAGTTCCTCTGGTGATACAAGCAAAGGCACTAAGTCCCTCTCACATTTTGGAAAAAAAAAAAAAAAAGTGAGGTCAAGACCTAATCAGTGCCACATTCTTGCTTTCAAACAGAACCATGGGATCAGAGTCTTTGAAACATTTGCAACTGAGAGATGTGCTTTGCGTGAAAAACAGTTTCCATGAGCATTTAGAATAAAATGTCAATGCAAAACCTTATCTCATAGGCTGACACCTCGTGACAGATCCTAACGTGACAGATCCTAACATCCCCTTCCAAGCCTCTCGACTCCTTTCAGACTGTGTATTCTTGTGCACAGGGTTTTAAGGGATAGATCTACCAGATCCTATGACACCACTGAAATGCTCCCTCATTTTAACAGGAGTTTAAACATTTTCACAGGAGATAAGTGCCTAGAGAGCACATGCAGACGTGGCAGTCGGTGGTTGATAACGCTCTGAAGTAAAGTGGTGGACCCCTTCCCCTTACAGACTATGCACTCGAGCAACTTCAGAGACAGGAGACATCAAAAATGGAACACAACAGTTGGGAAGGGGGGAAAAAAAAAAAAGAAAAAAGAGGAAAAGAAAAATATTTACCAGACTTCATTTGTGCTGAACATGATAGAAAATTTTTCAGCGGTATGTGCTGCAGACAATTCCCTCCCGCCTTTGGAAAAATAAGCCCTTTGTGATAATGCACTTCCACGTGATTTTCCAATTTCTCAATATAAGCAAAGAGCAATACAACATTTTCCTCAACTGACTCACTTTCGCACAATGTCTTTCGCCATTTCTGAGATCTGGCTCCACTCTTCCTCTGGAAATTCAAAACTTCCTGTCATGATCTTTTTCCGCATGTCCTTTGGAATTGTCCGACTATGGTGTTTGGAGTAAAACGGAGGGTATCCACACAGCATCACGTAAATAATGACACCCAGGGACCACAAGTCACAGCTCTGAAAGCAAGGAAATGATCACTTTGGGGCACAATTTGCAGCAAGCAGTGGTGTAGCTATGTTAAAAGTTCTACGTGATTCCCTAAGAAAACAGAAACACAGCTCGGCCTCCTCCTAAAGGTCCATCTGAGAACCTTCACGGATAAATATGGCAAATATGTAAGCACAAGGTAACTCCATGCTGCCAAGCTAAACTACTTCCAGTACCCAAAAGTAGCTTGTTTACAGCAAGCGCTCCGGTAGCTCTCCGCAATGGTAAACGTATGGAAGCAGGCAGCGCGTCAGAGGCTGCACGTTTCTTGCATCTCTTGGATGCTGGGATCCTGGCCTCTCAATATCAGAACGTAAATCAGAATACAGTCATTTTTTAGAACGTGAGACTGAAAAAAAGAAACACCATCAAACAAACAAGCTAGCAGAGACGCTTAATGAGAGATGTCTGTAACGAAAAACACATGTCTTGAAAGCCACGGAGATGAAGAAGCTCCAGAAAGCCAAGAGAATTTCACAGCTGCTTATGCTGCACTTCCTCCTGCCCTCCCAGCCCAGCCTGGAGCTCCCTCCCTGCCCCGGCACTACTGCTGCTGCTGCTGGGATACAGAACCAGTCCATCCAGGAGGTGGATCCAGCCAACAACCAGCTCAGCAAAGAAGCTGAAAGCCAGATCTGTTCCCCATCTGGATCACTGCGCGTTCATGCAACATAGACACTACTGGAGAAGAAGGCAAGAGGACCACAACAGCTTAGACTTCAATTCAAGCTTCTGTTGGATCATACCCTTAAGGATGCAGCTCTGTTATCACTTGGTTATGGCACGGCGCAGGCTAGGGCTGGTTGGACCTGCTCTGACCCTGACCATCCATTCCCAATATTTCCTTTGTGCCAACACTAGCATTTGTGCAGCTAATTATTTCTTTTTACTAGCTTGGTTTCCAGCCTTATCAGTCCTCCAGGAGACTCCATGCCAGCACAAGGATGGACAGGAACATACAGCCAAGTGTAAGAAGACTGAACTCCAGCCAGGTTCAGGTGAGTGTGGAAAGACACACAAGGGCAGATCTGGGGAACTGGGGAGGTTCTGCAATCAGTTTACACAGACAGAAGTCTGCACAGCTGCCAACTGAAGCAACCTCAGCACCACCCTGTCTGCCCAGGCTGTATATTCCATCACCTACTCTGGGACAGCACCGGCGTTCACGAAGCTGCATGGAGAAAGTCAAAGAGAGAATCCCTGGCCCCGATAGCTGTTTTTTGACTGGATCAACACTGACCCAGGAAGGGGCCCCTCAAAGGTGAGACTATTTCCTTAGATCAGTTCATACTGATCATTAAATCACACCCTTGGCTTTTGGCTTCTACAAAAGATGCGGATGCTGATAAAAGAAACTCCAAGGATTTGCCCCACATACGTATGCTTCTCAACAAATGGTTTAGTCAATCTCAGATGGTTCTAGAAGTCTACATTTCTATTTAGGTACCTAAATGCTCATAATTTCTCCAGTGACCAGAGATAATTTCTAATGAAATCAATGGGACTTTAGGCATGTAAGTAGGAAACAGGTGTCTAGATTCTTTGTGGATATCTGTTTCTCAAGAGTCAACCCCCTCCAGCCATGACATAGACACTTATAGTTGATCCAATACACACACAGCTCAATAAAAATACTCAGGGAATCAAAGATGTGGTTTTTTTCTCCAATTTAGATCTGTGGGATAGAGCTGTTGATTATGAAGGTGGATCACAAGCACTTCCACTCAGACTCTGAATTGCTGTGGAAGGACAGCATACCTGGGAGTTTATCCCAGTCTATTTTTGAGAACCAGGTGTATGCCAGATGCTGGTTCTGCAGTGAGCCACACTCTGCAAGGTAAGGATGAGGCTGCTTCTTTCAGTAGCCCTCCCAGTTAATGCCACCACAACTGAAAGCAGTTCAGACTGACCCATCAGTTCTTTAAACGAAACATGAAAACAGAATCACTGTATCACACTGTAAATCCCATAAGATCAAGGCAGCTGAACCTTGTCAGTATGTGAGTTAACTCTAGTTGGTATCTGTTTTCGAAGTTCTTAAGTTCTTCTGTTCTGTACAAGAACATGGCCCATGTTTTGCTTCAGTTGCCACGCTCGGGGCTCTTTGGTTCATTAAAAGAGCAAAACAGCTGTCGAATCGTTACCGACATCAACAACCACTGAGCATGAGCAACCACTTCTAGGTGTCTCTGAAACTGCATCTACCATCTTACGACTAAAGAGAGGGAAGTCCCTTGGAGAGGGCTGTTACTGCAAAGTAAATCTGCTTCAATCTACAGAAGAGGAGTTCTGGAGCTTTGTGAGACTTTCAAAATTCATAAAATACAACTTTCCCTGTGACTGGTGTTCACATAAGAGAAGGCAGAAGAAACTCTGTACTGAAAAGACTCTTGGCACCTGTCTGGGAACTCTTTTTATACGAAGTATGAGGCTTCAATCATCAAGCAGTTTCTCCAGGATGGAGAAGAGATAATCACAACCTCAAAGAAGGCAGATTTGTGATTAGGAAACCCATGCAGACTAATTCAGTGAAAGCTATCTGTGCCTTTTTGCTTTAGCTCTCTATAGAAGGATACTAAAACATAACACTACCTATCAAACTACCCCCCGTAGCACGTGGTGGGTTAAACAACAACTCTTCAAGCTGGAATCAGTGTAGATACTTTGCACTGCAACCAGAAACCAGTTAACTTCAATCAAAATTGACCCTCAAAGAAAAACGCTCAGTGGTTCAAACACTGCTAAGCTGGCAGGAGAGAGTGATGCTGATACGGAGGAAAACGTTTTGGAATGATCAAAAAGGAGTACAACCTTTCAGGACACTTTCTGTTGATGCTTTACAAGACTCTGGCAGCAATCATTACTGCCCATGGCGTCCCACTACAGACAACACAATACACTACTGGTTGTTTTGCAGAAGATCCCTGATACAGATAAGGTACCACCACAGCTGCCTGAACAGATGGCCTAAAAAGTGCTTTGCACACCCAGAAACTCCAGTTGATATAGAAAAGAGGATCCCTTTGAACCAGTCTCTTGTGGAGGTGAAAGAACTTCCCACATCGTCACACTCCAGAATCATTCTACTCTCTCCAAAAATCTTTTTAATATTCAGTGCGCCTTTAATAATGTTTGTATACTTTTCCTTTAATTAGAGGATCATTAATTAGGCTTGGCCCAAGAATGCATATCGTTATTCGCTCCATCAGAAAGAAGGAAGAGCCAGCAGCACCTTTTAGGCATCACTTCTAAACTGAGAAACACAGCTACCTGCACAGATGATCATGTTCTAATTTTCCAGGTTAACTGAAAGAAACCTGGTCTGAACCTAACACATTTAAGGGGAGAAACACCACGGTATTCCTGGCTGTTGTCACAGCTTTTAGGAAAGCTGGAGGAACCATGCAGTACCCCAAAGATACTACTTCCTTACAGCTGAAAACATACACGTACACAAAAGAGCAAACATGACATTTCCCTTCCGCTTCCTGTCGATGCCACTTTTTGCTCAGTGTGAGTTATTTGGCTACTTGTGATATTCCTGTCACAGAGATCGGAATGACTTTACTGCTTCTGGCCATAAGTGTGTAATTTCAGGGCAATAAAGTTTATTGCCATAGGTGATAAACTGTGCCTATAGACTACTCGTACAGCAGATGTACCAGGGGGTGGGGAAGGGGGGAAGACACTGTACTTTAAATATACTGACTTGTGGACAGTTTCATAGCTTACCTTGTTGTAAGTGTAAGGTGTTGGAGAGGTGGGGATAATACCAGATTTTTCTTTCTGATGCCGTCTTTGTGCCTCCAATACCTGTGGCCACGAGAGGAGGAAAAAAAAAAATTAAAAAAATGCAAAAGACATCTCACGTTCAGGCACCACAAACAGCAATGGCTCTGCCAAAGATGCCTGATGCTTCTCCGTTAGGTGGACTTACTCCAGCTACTGAAGACTCTGTCAAACTCAGACTGTTCTTCCTAAGAAAGACTGGAACTTTCCACATGGGAAAATTTCAGCTGAAATATTTTGCCACTTTGGATGAAAATTCCAGTTTTGCCTGAATGAAAGAAATTGCTCACCCCTCTTTTGTTGAAACACTCTTTAAAACCTCCATGCTTCAGAACTACAACTTAACATGTGTTTGGAGGGTAACCCTAACTCCAGAGATGTCCCCTTCTGCCTCTCCCACGAACAAATCAAATCCAGTTTGTCCCTCACTGATCCAATTTGTGTTTCTGGGTCTGTAAAAACGAAATCTCACTTTTTATGGGTTTGGTAGCTGGAAAAGGTTTTTATGGGTTTGGTAGTTCAATTGTTTTAAAACGCCTGTCTGTTGTACCACGGCCCTTCCCCAGCAGACTCCAGTTGAGGAGGCATTTCCAGGGCACGGGACTGTGACTGCATGATGTGACCTCTGCAATTTCTCTTCTTAGTCATTAAAGGCTGCCGACAAGCCCAGTATTGCAATTAAATATCTATCTGCAGTTTTCTTTTAATTTTCTTCAGGACCCCAACACAAAGCACAAAAGAGTGGGGAATGCAGCACTACAAAAACCAGCCTGTCCCTAACGACAGATTAGGTCTTAATGCACACCAAGAAGGGGGCCAAGCCAAGGTGAAGGGGTAACCCTCTGGCACAGCCCTCCTCCTGAGCAATTGCCTTTACAGAACCTTTTTGGTTCAGCACAGTCCTTTTTAATGCAATCTTGAATGAGCCTGAGCTGGAAGAAGGATTGCAAAGCACAAACTTTTCCAAACCAACCACTTTAATGCAGTTAAAGGCCAATTGTCAAAATCCTGGAGTAGTCCCACTGGTGGGAGCTGGGCCTGGGAGAGTCAGGAGGCATCAGCAAGTCAGTGCTAAGAACAGAGTCTGGGAAGTTTGCCTCATGATCTCCTGCTGTAATCAATAGATCACTGTGGCACTCAATCTTGAAAGGTGGCTACTATACAACTACTCAAGATTCCTGCACCCAGAAGCCCTTAACAGCAGAGCAAAGGCTTTTAAAATGACATGGTTATGGAGGCACAGGCAATAAAGATTATTATTTCCTTCAGCCTAGAACCGTAATCATTCATTACCTGAGGTGCTACATAATATGGAGTGAACTGTGGTGTCATCAAGTCACCTTGGTCTACTTTGGCAAATCCAAAGTCACACAATTTAACAGGTGCATCCTAAAACAAGAAGAGGTTTTATTATAAAATCTCATTTTACCAGCTTTTCTAATACATCCTTCTTGCCTTGTACTCATCTTACCTTTGCCACATGTATTCACCTTTCATGTTTATATCCTTATCATTCCACAGAGGAGCTAAAAGGTCATAAACTGATCTTTGAAACAATCATTTTTGTTTTCCTGAGTGCTCTGGGTCAAAAGCAGTGCCCCTCTCAGGTTTGAAAAGCACTAAGCGTGTTGTAGGGAGGTCACTGCATATGCAGGGTGGTTATGAGCAGGAGAAGAAACAAACAGGCGAGTGCTATGGATACGTCAGTCAAAGAACCTGTACGTGTTAAAACATCCTGATGACACACGGGGAGGAAACGGGGCAGAAAGGATCAAAGCAGGATTCTGTGTTAAGGTGGACAACCTGAGCCATATTTAACAGCAGCAGCACAGACAGTCTGTACTCCAAGCAGATCAGAGTATGGAAAAGCACGGAACCAAAAAAGGTCATCCGTTTTTGTCACTAAAACATGGCATTAATGTCATTTTACAACTCTTCTGAAAATCGCCATGGAGCCATTTTACAGAATTCAGCAGTAAACAAAGAATACCAAGTCTTCATCTTACCAGAGAGTTGTCCTTGAAGAGGAGGTTCTCAGGCTTGAGGTCTCTATGTGCAATGTTTAGCGAGTGGCAATGCTGCAAAGCCAAAGCTATCTGAAAAAGGGCACAATAAATCAACGACAATTACAGAACTCATCCTTTAGCCGGGACAGTTACGTTTGCTTTAAAAAGGACATTGCCAACGTAGCTTATCCCCAAACATCTTCAATGCACTTGGGCACGGTTCTGAGCCGGACAACCCCAGCCGTGCTGCGCAGCAAAGCCACGACTGGGAAAGGAAATCCACCAAGCTGGTCGGTTTGCATTTCACTCAAAGCAAACAGAAAATAAAAGCTAAGTTGTACTGGGCTTCCCAGCCATTTCAGTTTGATGAAGTCAGGGCATTATTACCCCCAAAGAAGTGAAACAGATCATGACAGTGTCCTTTTACACGCTGTGCTGGGCCCACAAGGTCACTGAACTTGTTTGCACAGCGATTACATCCTGATTAGCAGTCAACAGAGAGTCCTGGCTTCAGTATTTCAGTGAATATTTGATGGCATTTATTACTGACTTCAGAGTCAACATTCAGGCAGTTTTATTCTTTAACTCTTGGCAGCACTGTCCCCAGTTTACTCATTTCATCTGATATTAGACAGAAACGCGCCGATTCTTTCAAACACACCTTCTTACCCTGCTGTGGTTTGGAAACCTGTAACCCAGCCATGAAAGCTCAGGCTGTACATTCAAAAGTGCAATTCATTTAAAAAAACCCAAAGCATAAACACTTAAACAGCATTACTTAAACAAAATTAAGGCAAAACCACACGGCCCTTGTTTGGAAGTATTCCTGTTGGCTTCTGTAGAATCCTACCCAAAAAGTACCCTGAGTGAAGCACCGAGTCCTTAGGAGAGTGCAAATTACTGTGACAAGAGAACTTCAGTGTTAACTTAGCTCAGAAACAAATACAAACACAGTCCCAGATAAAACCAGGTAGGTTTGTGACGAGGTTTTCACTATTACTGGGTACGAGGAACTAAGACCCGTAAGTCAAGACAGTGATGAAGAACCACCAGATGGAGGAGTAAGACTTTAGCATTCCTTTCAAAGTTCATCTGTATAAACATTAAAGGGTTACTTGGGAATCGAATAACCTAAACGTACATAAAGTGAGAATTAAATTCAAAGTCTTGTCTTCTGGTACAGTTTCAAAAGATTTTCCCAACACTTCAATCCTGGACACTGCCTTGTATTGTCAAAATCAAACAGCCCAAAGGACATGAAAACAAACTGTCAAGAATAATTCTATACTTCCACCTAATTTCTGTGCTGTATGAAGACAAAAAGGTAACACCACAATCACCATTTCATTAGAAACAAGTCAAAGCACCAGACAGATAATTAAGATTCAATGACTTGGCCCTCTTTTTTGCCTCAGTACCAAACACTATCTCCCCAGCTTCAGGGAAGCCAGTGATCAGGACAGGGGTGTATTCACAAAGTCACATCAATCTACAACAAACGATGCAATATCTTGTCTCATGTTTTCTTTATTCACCGCAGAGATCACTGGTGTGGGAGCAGGAAATTTACTGATTAGTATCTCCAGTGCAGCCTCGCACCTACAGCTCGTATATCTTTTGTTTGGAATGCCAATATATGCTTCTGCAAGAAGCAAACGATGGCACCTCTGGCCCTCGGCTTCATGCTGTGGTGCCAACTCCCACGCAGAAGAGCTCAGCCCTTTTGACAGTAAGATTCTTCTGGGTTGTGGTTCCTTAACAGGAACCTGCTGGTCCTGTGCTGCAGCTCCCTAGAAAGGGTCTCACAACATGCAGTCGTATTCTTTTTCCTGCAACCTCCCCATTCATCCAAGCTCTCGGACTGGGCACCACAAGTCATCCAAGAGCTTGGAAGTGAAAGGGAACACGTTCACCCCAGAACTGAGAGGAACTGACACTGGAGATCTCCATACCAAATCCACAGAGGTCCTTCTACTTCATCATCATGCCTACTCTAGCAGGATATAAGCTAAGCAACAAAGAGCCTGATGGACACCAAAACCTCTAGTAATAAATAGTGTGGAGCCTACAAAACACAACATTCAAGAGTGAGTTGCCTAGAGAAACAGAGAGGCAAAAATGACATCGGAACAAACAGCATAGAAAACATGCACTGCAGCGGTACATTTCTCTTGTTATCTTCCACGACAGGTAGGATCTTCCATCAAACTAAATACAGAACCCAGCTTGAGAACCACTGGCCCAGGACACATGTACATTGTCTGCTACCCTGCCCAAGAGGTGAGAGAAACGCCAAGTGTGTGTCCTGGCCAAGAGCAATTCTCAAACTGGGGCTCAGGAGCCACGCGGGGTCTGGTGAGAACCTGTGGGCTGTTGGATGTAACACTTTTTACAACAACAGTGAGGGATGCAGCAGGAAGACCGTGCAAGAAAAGAGCTCTCTTTGGTGAAGCGTTCTGTAGACCAGGTTAGGAAAACCATTGCTAAGGACAGCAGAGACACCAGGGTCCCAACCCAGAAGAACTAGCCCACACCTTCCAATTCTTTGCTTCTATTGAAACTTTGGCATTGTCAGGTTATAACAAAGCAGGCAATGATCATCAGATCAGAACTGAGGATTATTTTAGCTTCCTTTTTTCCCCACTCCCCCACCCACTCCAAGGAATTGTTAAATACTTTCGCCATTATCATTCATGGATTTGCTTACACATGGGTGTTAACTTGCCTGCTTTGTTACTTGGCTTGCTTGCTTCTCAGTAAAGTGCCGGTGCTGGCTGATTCTGTGAAATAGCTCTCCCCCTTCCATCATCTCCATTACAATTAGGAGCCGAGCCCTGTTCAAAAGCATTTCATTTTGTTATGTTAAGAATAATCAAAAAATAACAGAATTGCTAAGCCAATAATGCATAACTTCATATCGACTGACGCAGGCCAAAAGAGAGACACATACTCGCTGCTTCTATTTTAGCTATTTTAGTTCCGTAATTTTGCCTTTAAGCACGTAAGCTGCAGGATTTTCTGGCTCCCAGCACAACCTGACTCACTGATTGTGTAGCCATTCCTACTTCCCTGTAGCCAGGAACCTACAGTTTGCTCCTCATGGGCTCCCACATCCAGCTGGAACAAGCACCATGGACATGTCTACATGGATGCACTCAGACAGACACATGCAAGCTCCACCCGTGCCTTCCCCCAGCAAGCCAGTTTGGACCTGAAAGCCATTTGGACACATCAATGTATAACTCTGCCCTCAAAGGACAGTACAGCAGGTAGAGTCTTGCATTAAACAGCCCAAACAGCTTCCAGGCTGGAGCTGGCTTGGAGCACAGCATACACCTGTCTGCTCCCATCCCTGCGGACAGCCCCATCTGCCTAGGCGCTACAGATGTTCCCAGCAACCTAGAAGCAGAAGGTTGAGGAATAATCTTTAATGCTTTTGAGTGTGGAGACTCTATTGCACCTCATTATTTTTAATTTACACTTTTATTGACACAACTACGAAGGACCATGAAGAGGGAGTGTGGAGATCAGGACTGCTGGATCCTCAAGCAACTAACTTCTAGTTCTTCTCGCCACACAGCAAAACCAGATACATCAGAGACTAAGACAGGTCTCAGCTCTTTAATTCTCCCAGCTCTGATTTCTTTTTCTCAACTAATATCCAATCAGAAGACAATGTTTTTATCCCAAGCGATATTAATGTAGGAAAAATAA